CACCAGAGACAGAGTGGGGAGCAGAACAGGCAGATCTACCGATACACCTCGGAGGGGAGCAGCAGGCGGGTCAGCAGAAGTCTGCTGGGCCATGTGGGTCAGCTCCAGGGTGGGGATCGAACTCATGCGGAAGTGGCTTTAGCTTCTTAGTGCTGCGCTTTAACCCGCTACACCACCATGGAGGGCCCTCCATAAAATCATTTGAAGGTCATAGTTTATAACTGTGGGGTATAAATGTTAATATGTTTATGTATTAAAACATGTCCCTAACCGTTCGTTTTCTTCTTTCACTTTTATAATAAATGAAGATAATTCCATCCATCCCTAAAAGAATGGTGAGCACTGGGCTCCATGCCTGCTGTGCCTGAGGGGCAGGAGGCCCTTTGCGAGACCTTGCCCAGGGGGCAGCCCCTTGCCAGCACCCCTTCCTGTGTCACAGATTGACCCATGGGTCTGAATTCACACTGCCTGCTCCTATAAAAACCCGACTGTCAGCCCTCCTTGGTGGCGCAGCGGATTAAAACAAAGCACTGAGAAGCTTAAGCCGCTTCCGCATGAGTTTGATCCCCGCCTGCCCCGGAGGAGATCCACATGGCACAGCAGACCTCTCCTGACCCGCCCGCTGCTCCCCTCAGCAGTGGACTTCGCCGATCTGCCTGTTCTGCTCCCCACTCTGTCCCTGGTGAATCCTCTCACCCTCCGCATCTCTGGCCTTTACCCCAGTTCTGTATGAATAAATAAATAAATCTTAAAAAAAAAACCCAACTGTCAATGTCCCTTCCGTTTCAGCCTCCTTTTAGCCTTTCTGTTCCCGTTATAAGCATCAGAGCATTATCCAAGTAGAGCTTGGAAAATCCATCTTCTTCCCCGCATACCTGAACTCATCATTTAATACTCAGTCAGAACTTCCCCCACTTTATATTAGATGATACCCTACCAGCACTTATAGTACATCAAGTCACAGAAATAGATACGCCAGGCTTCTGTTGCAGATCCAGTTCAACACAAGCAGGAAGACACTGCATCTGTGGTGGCCCAGCTGAGACAGGCAGACACACATCTACACGCAGGCCCAGGGGTAGAGAACGGGCTGGAATCAGCCCTCGTGGTTCCAGAATGTTCTCTCTCTGTTGAACCAGGCATCTAATGAGCTCCTGCTGCTCAAATGTTCACAAGCTTGGAGTATTCTGGTAAAGAGCATGCCTGTTTACTTCAGCTCCAAATGAGTTTGCATTTCTTTGTCCAGCACAAAGCTTTGTAATAAGGGATGACACTGGAAAAAAAAAAAATCTCAGGAGAATGTGCAGAGATTGCTCCTCGGCAGGTCTACTTAGGGTTTAGAAAAAAAACATTTTCTTCTTTAAAATTCTGTAGACTCAAAATCTCCCTCCTGCCAACACTTTGCATTCTTGGGGAAAACAGTTTATAAGGAAGAGCCAATGGAGGAAGAATTTGCTTCTAGCAACATGTCTTAAAGGAAGAGAAAGCACTTGAGGGCAGAGATTGCCAGGGCTACAGGTTGGGAGTAGTGAGACAAAATGCTAGTGAAGTCTCGCTCTGCACTGTGGATGCTAAAGAGAAGAAGCATTACAACTGGGATTTGTGATGTAGGATTTATGATCTGCTCGTCTCCTTTGGGCCCAGTGTGGTAGAACCCCAACCTCAGAGCGGCACATAACTTTCTGAAAGGTTTGCAACAGTCACCATCTTCATCCTGGTCAGAGCTGGGCAGGAAGCCTGCGTCTGTGTAAAGGATGATACTTGCTCACTGTCTCATGATGGGTGATGGGGTCACTGCGCCCTGGTGTACACTGTTGCTTCCAGCTCCCCTGTTTGTGAAAGTGACAGGGATCTGAGTTCCCGGTGGGGCTGTGACACAGTCGAAGTGAACATTCAGGGACTCAACAGTGACCATCGTGGTCAGAAATCTGAGCACAGGCACAGCCCCTGGGGAACAGTGAATGACAGTGTTTCCTGCAAACATGGCACACACAAGGTTTTCCTAGAGAGAATCACGGAGGGTCTGGTATGTCATAAAATGTGTTGTTAATTTGTATTTCTTTGATCCCTAAGAGGTTGAATTTTCTGTAACATGGGCCCATTGGCCATTTTCATTCCCTCATCTATGGGTTTGGGTTCCCTATGGGTGTCTTTGAGGTCAATTGCCCTGTACTGTAAACAGCAGATCCTCGCCACCCTGACCTCTCCCTTCCTTGATGCCATGAAACTGTCACATGTGACCCATCCTAGAGTTAATATTTGGAGTTACACTGGTTCCTATAATAGATCTCTCTGGCTCTCTAACTGTGGTTTTTTGTTTGTTTGTTTGTTTGTTTTTTTGTGTGCCATTCAGCTGTTTGGGGCTGTAAGCAATAGAAACAAAAGGATCCTCTAGCTTTTCATTTCTCCCACACATGGGAGGTGGGGGGGTCCCTGCTAGTAACCCCAAATCCCCACCAGTTTTTGATCTAAACAAAACCCTGTCCAGGGCTAAATATAGCATTATTTTAACTAACTGTAGAATTTCTACTTTCTAATCTGGACTGGGCGGAACAGAGCATTTACATAGCAAGTCACTGTGAGGCCTGTAACAAATTTAATTCCTTTTATCAGGTCAATAAATAAACTAAGGGACAAGGAGTTTAGGTGTCCTCCTACTACAGCTAACTAAAGCCCAGTGATTGTGACTGTCACTGGGGCATGTCTACTCCCACCTCCACCTCTGAGCCAGCAGCCCCTTCATTCCTAGGGGACAGATAAGAGACTCTTGGTTCTTTGTAGCTGGGGTTAATTGCCTCCGTACACTTGTGGAGTCCAGTTGGTGTTTCTTATTGAGACTCCAGTCAGTCAGAACCTGCTCAGTCTTCATGGGATTTTTTTCAGTCATTTCTCCCAGCTGGAGTCTAGTTCCCTTCTGATGTGGCCCAGGTCTTTAACCAGATCACACACCTTCCCGAAAAGCTGTTGTGCTCTCCACAGAACAGCTTTACCCCACCCAATGGCAAAAGCAGCGCCTCAGGTGCCAGGAAGGTATGGCAGCATGTCACATGGCTTGGAGAGGGCTAAGAGGAAGGGCTTCAGTTGTTATCTGCAGCCTTATCCTGGTGCCTATAAGTAATTGCACATCCTAGGAACTAAAAACTTTGTAGACTAAATGGCGGGGATGGTAGAGGACTGGGAAATGCACATCCCACAGGAGGCATTTTCTCAAAAAAAAAAAAAAAACATGCCTCTGGCCTGTATGGTTTCCAGCCTGCCACTCCTGTGGTTGAATCAATAAGGCTATAGACAGAGTGGAGCAGTGACCACAGGGCAGCATTACCATGAGGCACTGATATTTTATGTCCAGTTGGAACCTGGCTGCAGATACCTCTATTTAAGCACCTCTTAAGTCCTTCCCGTCGATAACCTTGGCCCTTTCATGACCGTGGTCTAGCTGGAGGTATGTGTAAATTTGCACACCTTCCCTTTCACTATGCTGTCTCTACCTTTTTTTTTTTTTTAAGAAGTATTTATTTATGCTTACAGAACTGGGTTACAGGTCAGAGGTGTGGTAGGTGAGAGGTGTGGTAGGTGAGAGTGGGGAGCAGAACAGGTGGACATACTGAAATACACTGCTGAGGGGAGCGGCGGACAGGTCAGGAGAGGTCTGCCACGCCATGTGGGTCAGCTCCCTGGGTGGGGATCAAACTCATGCTGCAGTGGCTGCAGAGAGCTTCATAGTGCTTTGCTTTAACCTGTTGAGTCACCAGAGAGAGCCTCTACCTTTTTTTTTTTTTAATCGTTTAGTCATAGGTCTTTCTTTTCAAAAGACAAGTAAAAGTATCTCTTCTACCAAATAAGGTGCAAACTCTCTAAATACATGCTTCCTTTATTAAGGAAAGGGTAACAAATCTTACATCCATGCAACATTGCTTTTTTCTAAAATGGAATTAAGCAAATAGTGGTAGCTGCTTCGTGCCAAAATTACTTTGAGTCTCATTCATTTCCAAAATCTGCCACGTGGAGTTAGTTGTAGGATCCTGGAGCAGAGAGGGAAGCCTCTATGAGCTTCTTTTAAGGTCAAGAGTTGGCCCTGTCTGCTCCCTTGTTCTGCTGGGTCTCTGTCACCTCATACCCATCCTATTCTCCTGAAAACCCAGATATTTTATTTTGTTTTATTTATTTTTGGTTTCCTGAACCAAAAGAACTGTGGCCAGTCAAGTAGCAGTTGTCGAATCAACAGGCTGGGCAGAACCCTCCGTAACCCCTGATGAGCTGACAGCTTGGAGGCCATGTGCCTGAGTGTGCTAGCCCAAAGCCAGCTCTGGACTGTGGCCTCAGCCACAGTTTTGTCACTGAGACCCTCTGATTCTCTAGTGAAGTGGGAGGGCTGGTGAAAACATGCTCTTGTGAGACAAAACATACAGAAGAATCACTAGGGGGAACAAACTTTGTAATGTGCAGACCAGCTACCATGGGTATTTTAAGCAGGATAGATGAGTCAGATAGGCACCTTAGAAGATACCAAAGGCATTAAAATTACAGGTTTCTTGGAAACAATTTACTGGTCAAAAACAAAAACTCATGCCTGTGGGCTATCTCTGTCTTCCAATTTACAAACCCTGGATGGGCTAAACAAAATGGATCAGGGATGGGAAGAAACCCAGGGCTTCCAGAAGCCCTGACCTCCAGCACATCCCACTCAGCGTGGTGATGGATTTAAAACTATCAGCAATGAGCAGAGCACTTAGTAGCTTCAACTTGGCCTCTCCCTCCCCACTCCCCAAGAATCTGACCATTCATTGTGAGTCAGAGAATCTGGGTCAAAGCAAATGGGCTGAAGGCCCATTAAGCCTGTGTCGCTCTTGTAGCTTTTCCTTCCTCCAGCGCACTGATGTTTGTTCTGTGTGTTACGATGAAACCAATCTCATGATAGCACCATGATAACGTCTAATTTCCATGTCATTGTTAATGTGCTGTTCTTGTCTTTTGTCCCCTTCTGTCATTGGACCAAACAGAAGTATTCTGCTGTTTCTCTCTGCAACATCTCCACAGAAGTCCTAAAAGTCATCAACGCCACAGAGGAGTTGATAGCTGAGTCTGCGGGTCCCTGGGAGGACCCCCCTGTCCCTCCTGACAGAGAGAATGGGACGTTTCCTCTGGGGACAGACCAAGTGAGGCTGGATGAGCAGCTGACTTCCCTGGAAGAAAACGTAAGATGCTGGGATGCGTGTGTCTGGGGTAAAGGTGCGAAGAAGCAGTTAATGAAGCTGTAACTTATCACAAAGACTGCAAGGTCATGATACACCCCACCACCACCACAGCATATAAGCAGACCCTAAGGTGAAGATTCTAATGCTTTGTGATCCTAAACAATGCAAACATGTGATCTGAGGGAGCAACCTCAGCCTTCCAGCAGGGAGCTCTGAAGTATAATTTGCAACAGTGAGTTGTCCTGACTTCAGGCAAAAGCAGGACACTTTATTCTCTCTACATGCAGGGAATGGTCAGTTCCCATAAAACACTTCAATTTGACTTTAACTGGAGGAAAAGTGGGAGTGAGACAGGGGTCTGATCTCTCCCTGGGTGAGATCCAGATACATAAACTCCTGGTGACAGGGCCTGTGGCTTTCAGGTCTATGACCCTGGCCCTTGGCAGAGCTGACGCCCAGTGAGTAAACCTCACTTATGTGATTACATCAGGTGAGTGAATGAAATTCCTTTTAAAAGAAATGTTTTGCTTCTGTGCAGGTCTCTGATGTTTAAATATGTCCATTCATCAATTTATTCCATGTCAATCATCCCTAAATGGGTCCTAATTCTAAAGACACAGAAAACGTTTAAAGCCGTGGTTCACCAGGAGAGGGATTTTTTTTTTTTTTACAAAATATAGTATCAAAAGATTTAAAGTGCATAAAATAATCCAGATTTAAATGATAATGGTTAGTTCCATGACACACATAAAGCAAAGATAGTGTGCCCCTCATCCCCACAAAGAACATGTTGAAGATACAGTGGTCTTGTCAGATTTTTCATTCTCATAAGATCTTTCTATTATACATCAAGTTTCTTTCCTTGCACCATTAACACTTTCAGTTCAAACACACCCACAGATTCAAGATCAGAAGCCCCAGCAGGGACATGAGCAAAAGGTTCCACTCCCTTGTCCATACCTCTAAGGGACCTCTTCTGTTCCCAAAAAATTACCTGCCTTTCTTTTCCTTACCTTCCCTCAACCAGCTTCTCACATCTCGCCTCAGAAGAAATCTATCTCTGTTCCTTTGAATTCTGTGGGTCTTTGAGTCAGAGGAGAGATGACTCTTTGATTCGCCTTCAGGTCACATCACAGAGCCACAGACAGGCTGCTTTGCTCTGCGGTGTCCAGAATGGAATCCAGTTGAGTGGCAGGAGAGGCAAAGGGCTGGTTCTTCACAGGGCCTCTGTATACAGCTGTCTTAATAGAACCACCACTTCGGTCTGTCTGTGTGGTGAAGACTGTCCCTCACTCCTCAGCTACCTTTCTTGTTTGTGCTGAGGAACCCGGGGACTGTCAGACATAAAAATGGTGACTCTTATTTTCGCCCTCAGGACATTGGCTCTGGCAGGCCCAAACTTTGAGATAAAAGAGGTCATTCACTTAAGAATGTTCTCTAAAATACTTTTGCAACAAAGCAGGTGGGGACCCATTGGTTTAGGTAAAGTACTGTGGGTGCTTGGACGGTGGAGCTGGGGTGACATATAGTGTGTAGTATATTAAAATGTGAACCTATTCCCCAGTATGGTGTTGTAAATGAGTTAACTCAATGAAAGGGTAAAAAATATTGCTGCAGATTTCAGATCTACATAAGATTTAAAAAAAAAAAATCTTATGTCAAAGCTCCTGTTTTCATAAATTGCTTCTCACCTGCTGCCTGGTAGTAGCATGTGAAATCAATACATGTCACCCTCACCACAGGAGGAACTCAGGGTCCCCCATCCCACCCCCATCCTGCACACACAATGAATGAGGTCTCCATTCTTTGGATTGAATGCTGGGGTCTCTCTGTATATGGAGCTCCTGTGGAGAGCTCTGAAGCTCAGGGCTCAGTTGTACCTGCTGGGATCTAATTAGAAGAGAGTCTCAAGAAAGGACAACTAACGGAGGTGTGGGTGAGGCTAGTGGGTGCAGGGAAGAGGTCACCACCCCTAGGCAGTGTAGCCCACAGAGAATTGGGGCCTGTGGAAGAGTGGCCCCTAAGTGGCAGCTGTCACACACTCCCCTCCACAAGGCAATAGAAGCAGTTTCTTCTGCCTTTGACTCCTGGTGGTGTCTCCTGCTGGCCAAACCCATCCCAGCCTACAAAAGAGCCTTCATGATGAAGTTCCTATGGGCCAGCTTCATAGAAAAAGAGCAGGGCAGAGAAAGGCAGAAAATGGATGAGGCAACAGAGACCCACTGGCATGACCACTCTCAGACCTGTGGGGTAAATCCCAGAGCCATGTGGGTAAATGCAAGGTTGTAAGTGGGAGGCATGAGTCAACCTCTCGTCCTCCTGCCCCCATCTGAGGGTCCTTCTCATTCTCTTCTTTGCTAAAAGACAGAGGAAGCCTGGAAGACCCCCACAATTCCCAGCCATCAAGACAATGGAAGGACAGTTCCAAATTCCTCTCAGGCTCTGTCGTGAGAGGAACAACGTGAAACGTTAGCAACGTGAAACATTTTGCCATGTGTTAGGAACTGCCCCAAGAGAGCCCAGCTCTGCCACAGAATCCAGCACCAGGCAGAGGCTGGTGGACAGTCCACAGCCAGAAGAGGAGGTGCATGAGAACTTGTGGAGGTCGCTCAGGCAATATCCTGCCTTCAGAGAGCAAAAGAAATAGTCTCTGTATGCTCCAACCCACAGTGTATTTTCATGGATATCACGTCCTAGAAGACATTCTATGACCAAATAAGTTTAAGAAATCCTTGCTTTTTCTAGGAAAATTGAGATACATATTAGAATTTTAAAGACTGAAACTCCTGTAGTAAAAAGTCTAATGTTCTTTAGCCTAAAAAGATCACTACAGAATCTTTCCTTTGTGAAACCAAACACCTGTAATTGCACCCTGAGAAAGTCTTATTGAACATGGAACCAGTTATTGGGATCAGAGGCATGACTGAGTTGAGTTTGGAGAGGACATAGATTACTCAGACATAATTCTTGCTAAAAGTGCCCCTTAATTAAAGTGAGCAATTCCAGATAAACTAGTTTCTAGAATGATTCTGCTGAATAACATAGAATAATTGTCATTATTTACCATGTTCACTTTTTCTGTTTCAACCAGCAGCAAAGCCAATATCATGTTCATCTGCAACCACAATAACTCATCTTTATGTCCAAGTTTGAAATGTTAAAGCAATGTCATAACATTCCAACCAAGATTAAGTATCATGGCACCATAGGGAAGGGTGAATCTGGCTCCAGGGATTGGCTCAAGTCCAGGCTCTACTTCCCAGCTGTGAAACCTGGAGAAGTTGCCAAATCGCTAAGACATAATGTTCTCATTTTGCACGTGAATGATTGCATATCCCTGACTTGAGGGTTTCCCTGAGCGTTAAGTGCGATGTGCCACATAAAAACTCTGGCCCGTGCCTGACTCAAGAGCGTTGTCATTGTCATCACCATCACTGCGGTCATCCTCTAGGCCTGTAGCCCCAACACCTTGGCGGTGAATTCCCATTCAGCTGGTGTCTTTCTATACCCTGAGGCTGAGCTTCCCCCAGGGCCAGGGAAACCATCTTTTAGGGAACAAAAAGTGAAAGATGAACATGCTAGCCTGGCTGAGGACTTGGAATCAGTTGCTTTGCTGGCAGAGGAAACAGAGAACATGAGCAGACGGCCACATGGAAGAGGAAACAAAATGCCATTAAGTTAACACAACCAGTAGCACCCTTGACTTTCTGTGTTTCTAGAAAAAAATCAAGGTTCTGAGATCCATGTTATATCAAATTATGTGTTACCATCATCACTCAAATGACTTAGCTCATATTTACAAACTTTGTTTCATTGTGCAAAGCTATAGGTTTATATTTTAAACTGTCTGACTAAAATAGTTACCTGTTTTGGTGCAAGTAGCAAAAGTGTTACATATAACTCATAACTTCCCTGAGTCTCCTCTTTGATCTTTCTTCTCTCTTCTCTCTCTCCTCCTTTCACTCCCCTTCCTTCCCTCTCTCTTCATCTCTTTCTCTTTCTCACCTTTGTCTTCCCCTGTGGAAAGAAGTTTTTCAGCTTCAATATTTTTTTAAAGATTTATTTATTTATGCATACAAGAACTGGAGTACAGCCCAGAGTTGCAGGGAGCAGGAGTGAGAGGAGTCACCAGAGACAGAGTAGAGAGCAGAAGGCAGATCTACTGAAATACACTGCTGAGGGGAGCAGCAGGCAGGACAGGAGAAGTCTGCCACATCATGTGGGTCACTCCCTGGCCAGGGATCGAAGCTGTGCTGCAGTGTTTGCCAATATTTTCATAGGGCTTCACTTTAACCCCCTGTGCCACCAGGGCAGGCCCCAGATTCAATAATTTTAAGAGAATATTTTTAGTGGCTTCTCTTCAACAGAATTCATTTCTTTCATGTGATAATAAAGAAGTGTTTCTTGTTGTGGAGACAAAGAATAAATGGCTATGTTAAGCAGATATTCTTTATCACTGCATGTAGATGATAAAGAAATGTAAAACTAAGGGCAAAGTGAAATATGGCAGTTGCCCAAAGACAATGATCCCTCACTCTGTACATGACTCATAAATCATTTAATGTGACGTCCGCTGTGTCAGTCACTGCGGGCAGCCCCCACAGCCAGCTCATTGTGTCTGGGGATGCCTCCACCAAACCTGTACCTGCCTTTGCTCCACTTTGAAATGTTTTGTGAAATTGTCAGTTGAAATGCAGATGCATGAATCATGCCAAGGAATTTACAGAGCAGAAGAGGCTTGGAGTTCTCTCTCATCCTCAGCAACCTCACATCACTGCGTGAAAAGATGTGCCTGCCTTATGTGCACAAGCTCTTGGCTTCCCTAGCACTGGTGTATTTTTAACTTGTCAAAGGCCCTGTGAAAGATTGACCATGCATTTCATCCAAGCCTGTTCTAAGTTGCTGGAATTACATGTTTAGAACTTTACATACATGGATTAAACCTCATAAGCCTCTATAAATAATTGCCTTTATAGAGACATCTCATCCCCTCTGTTGCCAGTCGTTTCATCACATTATTAAGCTGAAGATGAATTTATTTCATTCACCCTCACCCTGGTTGGCAACCCCTGGTCTGAAATATTCCAAGGATTTTACGTTCTCTTTGTCCATTTTTATAGAAACCACTTTATAAACTCATAAATCAAAATATTTTTCTTTTAGTCTTTCCCTTTATCTGGCTTTCTATTTAATTTCAAAAACTGCCTTAATTCACCGATACAGTCAATTTGTGCTTCTGTTAACATCACACTAGTTTCTAAGAAATGCAATATAGGTCACCTTTGAACAATATGTATTTGGACTTTGCCAGTCCAGTTAATTTTTTCCAATTGCAACAGTATCTATGGGTTCCTACAGTCACAGATTCAGCCAATTCTGAGTTATAAAGGCCATAAGCACCCTCAGATTTTGCCTTTGAAAATAGGGATCCTGAAATAACCCCACACACACACTTCACCCGCAGATACTATGGGACAGCTGTTTTCCTCCTACAGATTTCAAGTTCATATGAATTCCCATAACCTGGTTCAAGCAAGTTGAAGGTAATTGATTAGTGATCATATGATACAAATTTATAATTCTATTTAAATTAATTTCCCCTCTCCTACATTTTCTGAATTTTTCTCAATTACTGAGTGCCGACCAAACTTTTCACTTGAAAAACCACATCATGAATTTTTCCTCGTTGTGTCTTCTATCTTACTACTATGGTTGTTATAGTCACCAGACAAATTTGCAATTTATGTATCTTGGGTTATTTTCAAAACTTACAAATTCACTTTTCTTGCAGGAATGATGGGGGGGTGTGGTTGACAATGGAGGGGGTAGTATGACCTCATGTTCCCTTTAAATGAGTAGAATATTTATAAATGGGGGAGTTGCCTATCTTTGTCTCCCACTGTTGTGCTAGTTCTCTCTCATCCCTGAATTAGAGGGCTCCCTTCAAACTCCCCCTAGTCTGTGATTACAAAGCTATGCCTCCCCTACAGGTGTACTTGGCAGCAGGCACTGTGTACGGCCTGGAAGGCCAGCTGAACGAGCTGGAGAATGCTGCCCGCTGCATCCACAGTGGCACCGATGAGACCCATCTGGCGGATCTGGAGGACCAGGTGGCCACGGCTGCAGCCCAGGTCCACCGTGCTGAGCTCCAGGTAGAAAGCCCCCTCTTTGCCCAGATGGAGAAAAAGGAAGGGACACTCTTATCTCCCACAAGAAATGCTCAAGCTTTCTATCTGTCAGTAACGGCCATCACCAGCACACTTGAATATGTGGAGGATCCATGATTTTTATGTTTTTTAAAAAGATTTATTTATTTATGCATACAGAGCTGGGGTTCAGGCCAGAGGTGCAGGGGCAGTGAGAGGATTCACCAGAGACAGAGTGGGGAGCAGAACAGGTTGACTGACAAAGCACACTGCTGAGGGGAGCAGTGGGCAGGCCCAGAGAGGTCTGCCACACCATGTGGGTCACCTCTGGGGCGGGCGGGGATCGAACTCATGCTGAAGTGGCTTAAGCTCCTTAACCCACTGCGCCACCAGGGAGGGCCCAAGGATCCATGATTTATGATGATTCGGTCATGATTTCCTACTTCATGATGGTGCAAAAGGGAGCTGCATTTGGTAGAAACTGTACATAGAGTTTTGAGTACATACCACAATACTCTCTTGTATCTGATTCTGGCAGGTGATCATCAAAGTAAACAGCCCATACTCTGCAGAGTTTCTCACTGTCAGCACAGTATTTGTAAATTACATAAGATATTCAGCACCATATTATAAAATGGGCATTATGTAAGTGCAAGTGTAAGTGCTCTGGAAATGTTTAAGGTAAGCTGTGCTAAGCTTCTATGTTCAGTAAATTAGGTAGACTTTTAACTTATATTTCCAACTTATCAGAATGTAACCCCACAGTGAATTAAAGAAGATCTATATATGATCCATTCAGGTGGATTCCACCAAATCCTTGCTTTAAAAAATATAGCCCTATCTCCCCAAATTATAGCCTTGGTAATATACTGGGAAACTCTTTAAAACCTATACCACTTTCCTCTTTGACAAATTCTCTGACTCAAAAGCAAGTCTCCTCCTCCCAGGTGATGCAATGGGTTAGGACGCAGCACTGCAAGCTTGCTGCAGCTGCTTCAGTGCGAGTTTGATCCCCCACCCTGGAGGTCATCCAAATGGTGCAGCAGACCTCCTGTCTCATCCACTGCTCCCCTCAGCAGTGTACTTTGTCAATCTGCCTGTCCTACAACCCACTCTGTCTCTGGTGAATCCTCTTACCCCCCCGCACCTCTGGCCTCTACCCCAGTTCTGTATGCATAAATAAATAAATCTTTAAAAAAAAAAAAAAAAGTAGGTCTCCTTGCTATATTGGTTCCCATTCCACTCTAAGACCACTCTTTCCTAGTTAAGTCCAGTTTCCCCCACTATAGAAGACAGGACTATCATAAGCTAACTTAACACAGTGACTCCAGTGCCTACAGTAATATCTGACTCTGACTAGGCTCTCAATAACAATAGGCAGGGTAAATGAAGGAACTTGGAATTATACATTTCTTAGGCCAATAGTTTGCATGATTTGGATATGACCGTTTCATAGCTGATCACTCTATTATATACAACATTGTGAAGATAGCAGTTTGTAGTTTTCATGGAGATTCCTGTGGCCTCTGACTTTGGATCTGTATTAACCATGGACTCAGCCTCTGATTCTCAAACTGGAATCTGTGGACACAGTTCCAGGAACCTATGAGAAACACTGGTCTCGGCAGCAGAAGCTTAGTGTCCACCCTGCCTCGCTGAGATTTCTACAGACTCTCTTTCTGAAAACCACATCCTCAGGAGACTTGGGTCAATTGAAGCCACCTTTGGATAGAGAAGATGACAATCTTGAGTGGTCGTTTTTTAAATGAATATTTTAAAGAATGAGAAACTACTTCTGACATCACTGAACACTCTTGAGATTTGAGGGCGCCCTTCTCCACTCTGCAGTTGGCTTCATGCTGCCTGCTGTGAACCGCCCATCCTGGAGGGCCCTGCCGACTCTTACCAGCAAGGAAAGTCCTATTAAAAAAATAATTTCCCGAAAAAGGAACTCTCCTGCACTGCTGGTGGGAATGCAAACTAATACAACCACTATGGAAAACTGTTTGGAGGTTCCTCAAACTGCTACACACACACAAAAAAAAATAATAATTTCCTGCTTTCAAATTATTTTAAGCTTAAATTATTGGAGCCATGTTTCATAGTTGAAAATCCTGAGGTAGCTCAAAATGTCCATTTTTCATGTGTTTGAGTATTAATTTATTACTCATTTTAAAAAATACTGCAATAATGTTACCAATGTTACCTACTATTCAGTGCACCGTACTTCATGCCAGGAGTTGTGCTCAACATTTGATTTCACTATAGCATTTAATTCTTTTAGAAACCCTTAGAGGCAACTATTGTTATTATACCCATTTTATATTAGGGAAACTGAGCCCCAGAATATATAAACAACTTGCCAATAATTCTAGTTTCAACAAAAGATAGTAATGGAAATGGAAATTTAACCCAAGTTTTTCTCACCTCACAGCCCACATTCCTCACCAGTCTGTGTTGTGTGTTTTCCTAAGAACGTGTTGGTCTTGTGATCAGGCGTATCCCCTTGTAAATGACACCTTAATTTGTAGGAGAGGTTATCAGCTCCACCTTTGGCTTTATGGATTGTCACAGCTTGTGAATCTTAACACAGAGACTCTCCCATCCTGCCAGATGCTACTTGAAAACGAAACCCGGGCTCCTGCTGCCTGTTCTCATCCAAAGTTGAGTCTCCCAGAAGATACCGTGAGGGTTTCCTGCAGGGTGGGAGGAGGACCTTCCCTGAGGAGAGGATAACTGTTAAACTGTTAGGCTATATCTTATTCTAGGGCTGCTTTCAGCTTGGAGCTCAACAGGAGTGACTAGTGCTAGAGGAGCCTGTGGAGAGCTGTGCGGCAGCAGGAGAGGTGCAGCCTACTGCTTTGGGGAAAGATCACCTCTGGGAATCTCTCTGAACTGTTAGGGTTAGGGAAGCTGTTGCTGCTGAGGACTTGGTCCTTGCCTTGTGGACATAAAGTTCTGAATTGATTCCTCTGTTGTACATCCTGGGATATTCAGTACTGAACTGATCATGCCCTTTTAGTAAATGCAGAGAGTCACTGCCTGCAAGCTTAGGAAAGAAGTGGAAGACGGATGGGTGGGTGGATGGGTGGGGTGGATAGATGGATGAGTGAATGGGTGGGTGGATGGGTGGGTGGATGGATGAGTGGATGGGTAGGTGGGTGGATGGATGGGTGGATGAATGGGTGAATGGATGAGTGGATGGGTGGGTGGGTGGATGGATGGGTGGATGAATGGGTGAGTGGATGAGTGGCTGGTTGGGTGGGTGGATGGATGAGTGGGTGGATGGGTGATGGATGAGTGGATGAGTGGATGGGTGGATGGATGGGTGAGTGGATGAATGGGTGGGTGGATGGGTGAGTGAATGGGTGGGTGGATGGATGAGTGATGAGTGGAAGGGTGGGTGGATGGGTGGATGATAGATGAGATGGATAATACTCCATGGATAATAAATGATAGATGGATGAAATAGATGACATATAGGTAGATAGATAAATGAGATCAATAATAGAATAAATAGTAGATTGGTGATAGATGGATGAGGTAGATAATAGATGATATATTATGATGATGGGTAGATAGATAAATAGATAGATAGATGATAGAGGTGAGAGAGAGGGACTAGAAAATATGAGCAACATCAACCCTCAGTACACTCCTTTCTACTTTCTTTGTCCTCTATGTTAGGAACTAAAATGTGAAAAATTAACTCCTACTTATTCCAGAGCATGCCATTCAGCAAATCAGAAACTTAGCACCTCATTTTCTCATTAAATCTCCTAGTGTCCTCTAAGCAAGTCTTTCCATCAAAATGACTTCCAGAAAGGAATGTGGGCATCTAATCCACACCAGTTGTAAATGACTGATAGAAGTTTAGCCTATAATCTTCCCCAGAGGCTTGTGCCATTAATTGATCTATAAACCAAAGGTATGCACCTCCTGGGATCTGGGGAGTCAGAACGAGAAAGCATCAGGAGCCAGGGAGGCCTGAGTGCTGCACAACGGCCCCTCCTAGGACCTGGTGACTAGAGAGTTTAATTTGCATTCTTTCTGCAACTGCACAGTCTTGGCCTTCACCTACCTCTACTTCCTTTTCTGACCAAGACTACCAGCCCTGGGGGATAAGAGAGGCAGCTTTCGAACTTTTCAGCCCTCCTCTGTGTACTTTTATAGCACCTGTCCCAGTAGTCTTTGTCTGAGGAAGCAAATGGCAAATACAGTTTGTCTTGAGCAGCACAAAATAACCAAGGTTAAGTAGGGAGGCGATGAAGACCTCCCTTCCTGGGTGATGTACTAGCAACACCCAGGCTGTGCTAACTCAGGACAATGGCTGTGGTCCTGCTTCTTCTCTTGACTCTGTTAGCCCTCTCCTGCAGCCCCCAGTGCCTCCATGCCAGGCCTCGTCTAGTCCTCTGTGAATATGGCCACAGGGCAGGAGCACGGCTTTTGGCCATAAGTCCCAGCTCCGTCCCAGGCCAGCTGTTAGATGTGAGATCTATCATTTGGGCCTCAGTTGCCTCATCTGTAAAGCCACAAGAATGTACCTCTGCCATCAGATTATGAATGAATGCAGGGAAGTTTCCTATTGAAGACACTTAGCATGCTTTTCTGTGACACCTGAGAGGCAGTCGACTGCTTCAGAATGAATCTGAACATCTCCTTCCCAGCTGCCACAAGCTCATTGAAGTAGGTGATGGATGCAAGCTCCGTACCTTTTAGGAGACACATGTGACAGTGGAAGCTGCTGCTGATGCCCAGGTGAAGGATGGAAGGTGATGTCCAGGTCAGCAGTGGAAATGACAACAGGGTTTCCCCAGGAAGCAGGGTGTCCTGACCCGTGTCACGTTTGCCCACTCCTGAGTAAGGGGCTTTTCTGGGGTAGCCAGGTGGGCTGGTGAAAGAAGGCAGCTCTGTTTGGGTTATACTGTGCAGGCCAGGCTGCAGGTTGTCAACTTGGCCATTGTGAAGAAAGGGAGAAGACGGTTCTGGCCTTGCGGATATCACTGTGCCTCAACACCCAGGACCCAGAAGAGCTAGCAGAATCTGAAAACTCTTCAGTCTCTCTAAAGATGACTCCACCAACATGTTGTAAAAAAGCCCCTAAACGAAGATGGTTAGATGCCCAGGACCAAAGCATCCAAGTTCCCGTCACTTGTCACCCCCACATGTTCTAGATACAAAGGTTGACATATTAATCTGAAGAGGCAACAGACCAAGAAAAGTAAGAATGCCGCTGCAGAAGACACTAAACTTTTAGCCAGGAGAATGAAGGACATCAAAGAAAAATGCAAGGAACCAATTGCCAGGTAGAAGACATTGTCTTTGTTGAGAGCTTCCACCTCTGAATCTGATTCCAGTCAAAAATGAAATTTTCTAGAAGTTACAACACATAAGACCAGGCCTAAACTAATAAATAAAACTCTGTTAAATAAAATAAATGGCCTGGTGACAGCACATAGGAACATGCCTTCTAAGAGCAGGGACTGTGCCAGGACCCCAGCGGACAGGCTGCTGTGTGAGCCCTGTGAGGGCTTGGGGCTTTCTCTGCCCAAGGATGTGGTTGGAAGGAAATATGAGCCTCTGGTGTTAGAAACAAGGAAACGTGCCGGGCAAGAGGAGGGAGCTTCTTAAGGCTGCGTAGCCTTTCTTCATAAAGGAAATGAATTTGAACCATGGGCCACCGGGCCTCCCTCCTAAGATCGGGTGCTACGGTTTTGGATCTGCGGAGTTTTGAAAGCAAAAAGCACAGCCTATAAATTATGCTTGACTCAAAGCTCATGTCAAGCACTGCCTCCTATGAAAACCCCCAGCTGAGCCGGTGGCTGGGGGCTACAGCCCCCACAGTGCCCCTGCCTCAGCTCTCCCCAGCCCAGTCCACCGGATGCTGGTAAGCCCCAGAGCTCCCAGCTAGAAATAGAAATTTTCCCCCAAAAGCCTGTGTTTACTTTCTCACTAAAGCACTAGGTGGAGAAGCGTTTGGTAAAAGTTGAGTGAATAAATGGACAAATGCACTTACATCACAGCAGATTCTATGTTGGTAGAGTCCTAACACTTTTACCAAAGATCCTCCCCTCCTGTGATTTCTCCTACTGATTCTGCCTTTCTGCTGCATTTAGATCTCTGACATCGAGAGCCGGATTTCAGCCCTGACCATCGCAGGACTAAACATAGCACCCTGTGGGCGCCTCACGAGAAGGCGGGACCAGAAGCAGAGGAGCCAGGTGCGTGCCCCCTACCTTCAAGCCCGCCACTGGAGTCTCACACTACCTCGGACATATCTTCGGGGAGGTGTGCTGATTGCCATGTTCTGTTGTAGGTGCAAACCATAGACACATCAAGACAGCAGAGGAGGAAGCTGCCTGCTCCACCAGCGAAAGGTAAACAGAGCTCCAGCAGAATTCAACCTGCTTCATTCACTCTGAGCAACTCAGAGAGCTGAGTTGGAAGACTGATCTGATGGAGTGTTCTACCCCAGAACTGCTCTTGTGAAGTCTACGCTGACTTGAATTAACACCTCCCTCACCCCGCCTTCCCTACCCCTCGCCCCAAAGCAGCTCCTGGGACAAGGATGTGCATGTATTAATTTAGGAGGCGATTTCAAGAAGCACAGGGAGGAGAAGAGAGAAATGATTCAGGGGAGAGAAATCAAGCCAACTTAGAGAACTTTAATTAGTAGTTTATTTCTCCCAGTAAATGAGGCTATATACTGTTGGGGCCTTCTGGGAGAAGTTTGACTACACTTCAGAGTTACCTCCCTAAAGGGCAGGAAGGGCCTCCCTGGTGGCACAGAGGTTAAAGACCACCTATCAAGCTATCTCCAGCCACTGCAGCACGAGTTCAATCCTGGCAAGCTAGGGAGCAGACCCACATGGCACAGCAGACCTCTCCTTTCTCACTCACTGCTCCCCTCAGCAGTGTATTTCCACACATCTGCTTGTTCTGTTTCCCACTTTGTCTGTGGCAAATCCTCTCACCACCACCCCCTACTCCTGATCTACACCCAGTTCTTATATTCATAAATAAATATATTTTTTTTAGTAATAAAAATAAAGGGTAGGAAAATGAGATAGTTCAGCTCTAGTCTGTCATTAGCCAAAAGTGACTCCTGGGATGGGCAGGAGTGGGAGCATTAACTCCTTCAAACTTCTGACTTGCTCCATGCATGGGTCCAGAGAGTGGCTGTGCTTGCAGTAGTATGATGTCAGAATGTGCAAGAAAGATAGGGGCAGGGTTGTCAGCAAGATGGGCGTGGGGTACCAAAAACATTATCACAATGTCCAGTGTAGGAGTTCCATCAGTGCCAGGCACATCACTCTTACCTACTGGACATTGTCAAAAACTTCCCTCAGTTCAAAGGTCACATAATGATGGTGCAGCTAAAATTTTGATCTACAGATTAGTACAGTAGAAAGTCAGAATATGTGTATGTGAGTCTAGATTCCACTCGTCACTGTTCAGTATGTATTGGATGCCTGCTTCATATTCCACAAAACCCTATGCAATTAAAATTTTATTATAGATCATACCCCTTTATTTGAAAATCTATATGCCTGTATGCATTTCAGAATGTCTTTGGTGTGAGAAAGGTAATATGGTACATGTATTGGAGAGTTCATAAAAGCACACACACATCCATGGCATCTGTGGCAGCATCTGATAAATACATTAATTTTCTCAGAAAGCATAAGAATGTTCAAACTCACTAGGGCTTTAAATGGCCGCATGTCATTTCAAGGCAGGTTTTGCCAATAAGGCAATTTTGGCTCAGAAGTTAAAAAACAAAAAAACTCTAGTTTGAGTCTCTTATATTTTAGAATCGCAAATCAAATTTATGGAGTGTGGATTACATCAAAGCAATTTTCCCCCAGAAAACCACCAATGATGCTTTGACTTATTTGGCCATTACAAAAATTAAAAGATTCCAAGTCAGACTTAAGGACAGGGTGAGAAGCCAAGTCTAAAAAAGTCTGGGTAACCAGGAAACTTCATCTCTCTTCCTTAACAATTTCATCAAGCTCCTGAGTAATAGTTATTTCCTTCTGTTTTCTTTTAGCTGAAAATGTTGAGACATCTTCAGTGACCACCATTAAAACATTTAACCGTAACTTCATTCTCCAAGGCTCCTCAACAAACAGGACTGCAGAAAGGAAAAACACCACCAAGGATTTGATGGTAAAGGTCACCTCTGTCTCAGAACTCACCGCTTTCATTGTAGATGCTGCCTCCATTTAGATGTAGCCCTTTTGTTCTGGAGCTCCCCCATCAGAGGGCCATGAGGCCTCCTTCCTGCTTGGTTTCAAGGTATTGGGGTGGGAGGTCAGTGGGGAGAGTCTTGGAATGCCTGGCATTGCTAATCCTTTCGATGTCCTCTCAACTACATCTCCAGCTCCCTGTAGGAACCAGGTTTGGCATAAAAGAAATAAATATATATCCATCGGAGAGTAGGGTCTAGCTAAGGTATAAGTTTTTATTGTTTTTTGATCCATATTTACTCTTCCATAAATGTCTTCTAAGCCATTAATCATTTGTGTTTCTGAAAAGTCAGAAGTTGTCCCTATTATGCAGCAAAGGAAAGGGGTGTAGGTCCCTTGTACAAAGTGGAGATCACTTAGAAAGGGCTAATGGATTGTTGACCTAAATACCAGCATGTGCTTTCGAATTTTGGCAAGCACTTGAGGCTGCTTAGATGAATGGGCCAGCTAGACTACTCTGCTCCTGAGGCCATTGTGCTCAGAGAGGGTGGTGTCTGTGCCCCGCAGACTAAATGCATCACTGTACACTCCCCTTTCCCACCACCCTTCAATCCCCAACCCCCACCCCTGTTTCAGAAGCACAGAAGCACCAGGTCATGGCATAATTGGGCATGCAGTTATCAGTTACAAAACTCTCATCTCTTAGGCACCAAATGACAGTGAAGCTGTCCCTGCCTCTCCAGGGCTTAGCCATTGCCTCTGCCCTTTCAAAGTCCAGTTACCTTTCTTTAGTGGCTACTTCACAGAGCCAAAAAGGTACATTATCACACAAAAATAGGACTGACCACGAGGGTCAGGAAAGGAATCTGTTATAAATCAGAGGGCTGAGAAAAACAATTGCCGGGACTGTGGCAGGAGGAATCAGGAAGAAACTGCTCAATGGGTAAGAAGCCTAATTTCAGGGAGCTGGAATGTTTGGAAACTAGGGAGAGGTGTTTACACAACATTGGGATGCATTCAATGTCATGAATGGTTCACTTTAAAATTTAAAATTAAAAAATTTAAAATTTAAAATTTAAATTTAAATATCACCTCATAAATTATTTTTTAAAATAAATTACCTTTAATTAGCATGAGAGGTTAAAAATGATCAAATGGACAGCACTTAACAGATGGAAGTCAAAAAAATTAATAAATGGCAGAAATATTACCTTTGAGCAAAATAGAAGTCAAGATAAGACACATTCAGAAAAGGCATGGTGGTGTAGGGGGATGTTTTAATTTTGTTAAAGTCGGTAACCATGAGCCTTTCTGGATTTAACAGACAATAAAGAAACACGATTTATTGTGCCAAAGTCAGTGACTTAAAATTACCTATCAGTCCTTGAAAGTCACTGTATTCCAGATATAAACAAAAAGAACTTTGATAGTATAAGTATTAAGCTTTAGTTAAGATACTAATCTAACTTTATACTTTTACTTTCTTTACAAGCATTCGTGAACCATTTACAAAAGTTGATTTTATATCAGTTTCAAAGAAATTCTCGATAAACTCTGAAAGGTAGAAAGTGGAAGGTATGGAGCCACTTTCTGGGACCCCAATGCCAAAAACAACCACAAACACAGGGGGTACTGCGCACTTGAAACAGGCTGTTCTGGTTGGTTTGTTTTAATCTTGACGTCAGTCACATGTGGCTAGTGACCACGAGACTGAACAGGACAAATTTAGAAGATGGGAGCATAAGTTATTAGGGAGGCATGTGTGCCCACATACACACTGCCACACATACATGTATGTGCACATGCTCATGCATGCATTTCCAAACAATTGTTGAGTTAAAGCAGAAAGCAAATCCACAAAGCTTTTAGAAAATGGAACTGCTGCATATTTCCAAACAAATGAGATGTATCTAAACTACAGTGAGTCAAAATGATGGAGTTAAAACTTGTACGCAGCTGCTGCACCTCTTCTAGCATCCTTATGTCATAGCCTGCAAAGAAATGCTCAAGCCCCAAGTAGGGAAAAAGTATGGGGTTGGTGTCTTTTCAATATTAATGACACTTGTAGTATCTATGTTGTGGATAATTTACAGTAGGGGATAGGACTGGGCTTTCACTGGTAGATTTAATGTAGCCTATATACTTTTCAATGATGCCTACCTGAAACATACAGTTAAGAAATGTCTAGAATTTTTCAGTCATCATAGATAGCAATGTTAATCTTTTTAAGTTTTCTCTGAGCAGGTGTTAAGATGCAGTAGTTTTATTTTGTTTTATTTTATTTTAATGAAGTACCATTGTTTTACAGCTGTGTTAGTACTTGACAGTCCTCCCCTCAGGTGTGACCGTCGTAACTCTCCCACCAACAAAGAACCCACAGTCCTCCACCATAGTCCACTGTGCGCTCTCCCCAAAAGCCCCCTGGATGCCTGAGATCTAATGTCAGCTTTCAAGGGTTAATTTTAAAGTTTGTCTTGGATCCTGTGTTTGAGTTCTCCACATTCCATATATAAATGACACTGTCATTATTTATGTTCTCTTTCTGGATGATTTTACAAATTTCAGATCAAATAAATCAGAAAAAATGGACAAAAGCACCTTTCAAAACAGAAGTTACTTTCCTTCCAGACTTTAAGACAAATTAAAAGTTGTAAAAAACAAAAAGGATGATTAATGAAATAGACTAGAAAGATCAGAAATAGATGTGTGAATATGTGTTTTATAAATATGTATATATGAATATATTAAGGATTAGGAATTGGTAGAGAAGGTATAGATGATCTTAAAAACTTAAAAATAAACGTGCTCGGTAAATTGGCCAAGTGGCTAAGGAGGTGGTAGTTGCAAGGGAACCAACTTGCCTTATTCTATATGCCAAAGTAAAATTCAGATGGATGAAGAAATTCATGTTAAGAATGCATTGCTTTTTAATTGTTGTGAAAGACTGAACAGGTCAATGAACATGAATACCTTTCAGGATATAAAAAGCATTTTGTAATCTTCTCTGCTCCCTTTGGCCAAGTGGCTGATGTCAGTATGCCCCTTGTCTGTCCTCAGGACCCCACCCTGGAGTCAGCTGTGATGTATTAGCACGATGGAACTCCACTGCCAGTGACTCACTGCCTCCGGCCGTACACGACAGTGCCTTGACCCAACAGCCATTGAATATTGCATGGATTTCTCTGAGGACAGGGCCTGGAGGGCCGCCGCATGTCCTTGCACAGGGCTGCCCTGATACCTCATCCAGAAAGCAGCCCAGACTTCAGAACTGCGGTCTCGCCCACTCTGCCTTAGGCTCCCAGGGAATCCAAGACAGAGAAGAAAATCGAGATGCTGGCTGGCTTCCAACAGCTGAGCTCCATGTTCAAAAGATGCACCCTGCTCCTGTTGGCTTTGCTCCTGCGTGTTGTCTTTAAGATCTTTTATTTTTTAATCCCTTTGATTCAGAAAATTAACTGTCAACAGGTTAACCAAAGGAAAAGTTACTGGGGAGGAGGGGTGGTAGAAGAAAGGGGGGATGGTTATTATCGTGTAATCCATCATCAAGTCTTATTTAATCTCTCACAAGCATGTGTCTTACAGTTTGCTAAGGAAAAAGATGAGCTGTTCCCTGTAGGGAGCACTGGGGACTGTGTAATTTGGGGACACACTCAACCATCAGGAATGCAAACTCCCTTCAGCCACCTCCTTCCTGCTAAGCACCTAATCACCTACTCCCAGTCATCCAATTGCTTTGCAACCACAAGCCACAGAATGGAAAGCTCTGGCTCACTCATACCATGTCCAGGTCTATCTGGAGACATTGTCTCATTGAGAATTTAGGGTCCTTCCTTGAACTGACTGGGATTTTCCCCTCAGAAGGGGCTTGGGGGCACTTGAGAAGGCTCCCCGTTGGCTTAATTTAGGGCACTGTCCAGAATCAATAGGATGTGATCTAACAATGAGCCCATCTTCATGAAGCTTAGGTTGCTGGTTATTGCTTAACCTCCAAAATTCACTTGCCACTAATTATTCAGCAAAAGTAGGAAAATGACTTAAAGATAAAAAATGATTAAGGAACAACCTTAGAGCAAACTTAACAGTTACAAGAAAAAGGAAAGAGGCACCGAATTGAATGGACATGAGCATCATCCCTAAACTCTGCGTTTGTGGTCTCAAACGCATGACTATTTTGAGTGTGTTTATAAAAGCCGATGGAACTGGAATTTCACAGAATTAATTGAGCCTTAGCAATCTTTTTTGTTGTTGTTCTTGGTATACTTTGGATCTGAGGAAGACAGCATCAGAAGGGAATAGTATGGCTGATGTTAATTAAGTGGCCACCTGCAGGAGACTATCATTATTCTTTAATCCTTACAACCCTAGTCAATGGGTGTCCCCATTTTCCATATTTGGAAACTGAGGGCCAGAGAGATTAATCCACCATCACACCTTGAAGCCAAGGATATGATCGGAACACTCACAAAGCTTCACGTAGTGTCTTTTCAGCTTCTACATTCTTTGCTGTACTGCACATTTGCAGACCTGTCTTGCTGCTGAAATGTGTGTTAGGATCCGTTCCTGATGGGGGTCTCCCCATCTCCCAACAATACTCCTTGCTGAGCTGTGTGTGTGTGAGCTAACAGAAATGACTCCATTGAAATAAAGTAAATCTTTGGCTTTTTGTTCCTTTGATGTGGTTCAAAACAGACAAATAGGAATTTTAAAAACACAACAGCAACAACAAAAGACCTGAGTTCCAAATAGAACGTTTTCATAGAGGCATGAAAAGCAACTACTGTTGTGTTAACATTGTTAAAATATTCAGTTTACTTCAACAACAACAAAAAAAGTGTACTGTGTACTTGCAAAATAAGAAGAGGCTGCTCTGTGGCATTTGAATTTTTATAAAGGTTTCCTGTGCCAAATAAGTGCAAAGATTTAATTTACTATTCAAAACCATAAGCATATGTTATAGTTCCAGAAGAATTATTTTGTCATCAAGTGATTTTGATCTTCAGTGTCAATATTTATATTTAGATTAATTTTTATAAATGAAATATTTTAATGGTTTAAGAAAATGAGGACAATAGCACCCTATCTTTGATGACTTCTGAAAGTTATGCTTGCCTTCATGTCATACGCACTTTGCCAAGATACTGTCAAGAGAAATGATAAAGAAGTAAAAGTCATTTCTGAAAATAATGTTTGTGGGTGTGTGGTTTGTTTTTGGTTAAGGAAAACTGAGCATGAAGAGGAGACAGAGAAAGAAGTTAGCTCCCCAATCTGAAAGAAATGGGAGGCCAAGCCACAACGTGGACACAATTTCCTGTCAGCCCCTGAACTTCCTTGTTCCTCTCAGCTGAGCCAGCCAAGATCAGAAGAGCTGCCCAGCCACCCTTGTTATATGGGCGGCAATAGTCATTGCTCTTTTAAACCATTGAGCCTTGGAGTGGTTTACTATACAGCAATAGCTAACTGACACACTAAGACAACAGTTTTTTCACTTTAGATTAACCCTTGTATTAGGAGTGAAGATAAGTGACTATCAAAAGTCACTATCAAATGTCCAATAAAAAGGAGAGACAAGCAAGCTATTGAGCTACTTATTTTTGACATTTTGTGATTCTTACATGACACTTGTGATACATTTTAGGAGCCTGTCTCTCTGTCTCTCTTAATATGTGTGTATTAATCTTTTACAAGGGATCCTCTATTCATTAAAATTTTGATTAAACATTAAAGCAAAGGAGACATTTGGCGTGTTCCTTTCAAAGTAACTTCTCACATGACAGCCGCTCTATTTTCTCCCAGGGGAAGTATTCCCCTTATAAAATTTGCATTTTTACAGAACAGTTGGTTGCATGAGCCTTCTGTCTCTACAACTGAGTTATAATTATGATAAAGTGCAGGTACATCGAGTTGCATTTTAAAGAGCTTTCTAGAGGCCAGAAACCTTCAATATCTAGTTTAAATATTGGAACCTTCAAAGATGTTATTCAGAAGGATTCATTTTGTAGAGCCACATCCTAACATGTAGAAAAATTAAGTTTCATATAAAAAGTGTGATGCTTGAGAAAAGATTTAAGGCCAATCTCTAACGTCATTGCACACATCTAGAACGTGGCTGACAGCAGGGCTAGACTGACCAGCACCAGGGTGACACCAGTACTGCTGGTCACACTTTGAGTAGCCAGGTTCGAGTGGGCCCCATGCAGCATCGAAGTCTACCGTAGTCCCCAGGGTGGTAACCTATCTGCCAAGCTCTCAGCTTTGTACTTGGTCAAGGAGGCTTGAGAGGAGATGGGACTGAGAGCTGGCAGACTCAAGACTGTCCGCCACAAGAGAGCTACTGTCTGTCCCACAGGCTGTGTGTATCGAATGACAAGGAGCAAACGCTAGCCCAGAGTCATGATGTGCCACAGCTGTGAGGGGTTAGGTTGTGAGGTGACAGGATTAAAAAGTGTGTAATTGCCATCCTGTCCTCATGCTCTGAGAGATCTGGTAATTACTTAATTGGAGATGAAAGGGCTATTTGCAGGTAGTGATGGTGGTGTTTTCTATTGCACTTCTATCTTCAACATGCCCTTTGCTGTTTCCTGGTAAGGACAATAATTTGCGCTTCGAAGTCTGTCCTTTTTGATTTACTCTTCCCTACTATTTTATTTGCATCATGGCAAACCATCTGGGAAATCCGAAAAGCATTTTCCTCTTTGAGGAAGCTGGTCTTTAAAAGGGAAAGACCAGGCATTGTTCATTGCCTGATTTGCTGAGAACAGATTCCCCGAGTGAGCGTTTCCACGAGTTTGTAATCTGGGTCTTTGTAGAATCATCCTGGTGAAGTATGGACTGCTATTGTCTTTGCCTTTAAATGAGATTGTTATTGTCTTCTCCATGTCCAGGAGCAATTCTTCCCAGTGACCCTGGGTTGTTGAAATGCTGGTTATGTGAGGCACAACAGTCTACTGATGTCACCTGGCACTCTGTCAGCTCGGTGCCCGAGGAATGCTGAACTGCCTGATGACAGAGGGGTAAGTCACCTCTTCTTGACTTAAAACAGATAGGGTTCTAACTCCCGGCCTCCACTCTGTCTTTTGATTGCAGGGGAAGTAGACATTTGGCAATTGTTAAAGACAGATATAAGGGCAGCTGGAAAACCTGTCCCAGACATTGGCCAAGCTGGACTGTAATCATCTAGAAATTCTGACCACAGCTCCTGGCAGGGCCTGATTTACCCTTTCATGATTTGTGGGTCTATCTCAAGGGCAAGTTAGTCCCTTTCTTAACTATCTTCCCACAGTATATTTGGTCCTTTGGCTCCCTGGCTTTGAAAAGCCCCATGTGTCCTGTAGAAAGGCTCAGCTCACATGTCACCTCCTGTGGCTGTCTCTGATCCTCCCCAGTCCAGGAAAATCCTAGTGTAATCCATGATTAGAGGGAGGCTCCATGGCACTCAAAATCTGAGTTTAAATTTAAACTGTTTCAAACTCTAATTTATCTTCTCTAAAGACCAAAGTCCTTCCCAAAAGCTGGCAAAGCTGTATGATGGAGATCAGTGGTTTCTGGTCTTTGCTTCCACTTTGGCCCTCTGTTGTGCACATCAATCAGACAGGAAATATAGGCCCTGCCCCACTCTCACTTAGGGCACAGAGAGAGTAATCACTACCCCGAAGAGGAACACCTCAGGCAAGCCTTGACAGAAGCTGGAGTCTAGAGGCTTGAAGGGTGTGAGAGAAACACACAGCATGTCACCTAGTAGCTGAAAATCCAATTTAGACAGTCCTGCTCTTCACAAATCCTTTTTCCAACAGTGAGCTCAGCACACCACACCTGCATCCTCCCGTGCCCTGCCTCCTCCACTCTGACCTCCAGGATTACTTGGCCAACTCCATGAGCCTCCCTGGTGTCTTGAGTCCACAGAAAGTTCAAGGCATAAATGTCCTGATTTGGGCTGGATGTGAGTAGTAGAAAAGAATGAAGTATGAGAGATGCCCTCAGATCTCTTTAGCTGGGACAACAGAAAAAAATTACTCCTTTTCACGGCACTGGGGGGCAGAAAAGGAAGAAAAAATCCTCTTTAGATATGTTCCATGTCAGATGTTGGCCAAGTGGGGAGTGATTTCGGATTGGAGAGATGTTGGGTTCAGAGAATGGGGTCCTTGGGTTACCTCTGAGAAAAGTCTCACCAGAGCACCCCCCGTCGGCAGCATGTAGCGAGTTTCCCCACGAGGCAGAGATGTTTAGTTATATCCAAAAGGGTAGGTTTATTATTTTTTAAAAAAGGAGAAGTAAAGAATGCTTGCGCAGACATAAGCAGGCAGAAAGAGCTGCCCGGGAAGGGACAGGTTGGTTACAAAAGCCACCTGCATCAACAAAAGCCAGCAAGATTGGGAGGAAAGTGTCACTCCTGTGTTAAAAAGGGAAAAGGTTGATAAAAGAAACACCTGCAGTGTCACAGGTTGCAGGAAAGCTGCTTTTTGCCATGCAGAAATTGCATTAATACCACGTTCTTCTCTTCGGGAGGGCTTCTTTCCTTGGTGGAACTGTTATCTAGTGTCAATTACTGCTAGGGTGTGACTAGGTTGATGTGTAAGGAGCCAGGATTCTCTACAATGGCCCTCAATCTCCACATCCCCACTTCTGGGCTGCACCTTGTGATTGATACTTGCTCTATAAGTTGGCACTTATGGATTTTTCATTTCTATAGTTGACTTAACAACTATGCTCATCATTCCTCCAGTATTCTCCAGTTAATCCACCTCCAGCTTCTGTGTCTTTTGAAGACTCCATCCTAAATTTTCTAGTCCTAGTCTCCATGAGAGAGGTCAAGGAGGTGGGTGGATCTACAACTGTACAGATCATGGCTTGGGCTCAAGATCTGAGAAGTGTTGGGCATGGATGAAACTGGAAATTGTGCAGGAGTTGCAACCTGTATAACCCAGACAAAATTTTTTTGTATAAATATACCCATATTAGGCCCTCACTGGTCTCATGAATGTTTGGAAATAACTACCTCCTCTACCTCAGCTCTTTCTCATCCTGACACTATGGTGCCACTGAATGCAGGAGCATACCTTCCTCCGCAGGTGACTACAGCTCCTCAGCCAGTCTCTGGGACACACACTTCCTTCCCTTGTCTTCCAAGACATCTCCTGATTTTCCTCCTATTTTAGTGACAACACAGTCAGAGTTTGAGCAGAGGTGCAGCCACCCAAGGAATTGGAAATAGTGACCGATAATATGAAAGAAAATTAAGAGAAGATGATGTCATTGAAGTCAAGAGAAGAAAGGAACAGTGCACTGCACCAAATGCTGTGGAATGTATCAAATAAGATTAAAAACAGTGAGATGGCAGGACTCTCCCTGGTGGTGCAAGAGGTTAAGGCACAGTACTATGAAGCTTTCAGCAGCCATTGTAGCACGAGCCCTGGCCAGGGAGCTGACCCACATGGCACAGCACACCTCTCCTGTCTCACCCACTGCCCCCTCTCAGCAGGGTATTTCAGTCAGTCTGCCTGTTCTGCTCCACTCTGTCTCTGGTGAATCCTCTCACCCTCCACACCTCTGGCTTTTACCCCAGTTCTTGTTAAAAAAAAAATCTTAAAAAACAAAAAAGAAAAAGTGAGATGGCACTGGCTTAGCAATACTGTGGTCAAGCAAACTTGGGCATGCATGATCTCAGTATAGCAGTGAAGATGAAAATGTGTTTAAAGGGTCTGAGAAGGAGAGCAGTCATGAGCCAGTGGAGAGAGTAATGTGGACAGCTCTTCAGAAGAATAAAGAAATGGGCCCTACCAAGGAAAATATGAGGTTGAGAGTTTTTTGCTTTTGTCTTTTTCAGAAGGAAGATTCCAGACACCTGGTAGAAATAATACTATGAGGAAAGGCAGTGTAGATGCAAGAAAGAAAAGGGAATACATCCCAGAGCAATGTCCTTGAGAGGGCAAAAGAGAAAAGTTGTGATACTTCACCCAGGCAGGTAGAGAACAGCAGCACAAAGGCAGGGAGACCCAAGACTTGGTGGCTCTATCATGCTGGTTCCCATTTAATTGTTTCTGTTTTCCCAGTTAAGTATGCACAAGTTCCTCAGCTGTTAGCATAGGAGGAGTTGGATTTTAAGGAGAGGGATATGTAAAATCATCCCTGTGGAAATTGAGGGTG